TTTTTTTTTTTTCCTTGCTTCTTTCCATTCTGTATCTGTAATTAAAAGCACTGCAGAGCCCTGCAAAATACAACCCCCCACCCCCTCCGCCCAGCCCATCCTTCTGTCCCCTGGGAATCACGCTGGTGCTGGATGAGGAGAGGCAGAAGAAGGATGTGGGAAGTTCAGCTGACCTGTTCGGGAGACCAGCAATTGCTATGCTCTTTCTGAAGGTTAGAATTATAAAAGCCCAAATACATAGACAGTTCCTTTAATAATACAAACCCGTTTTCTCTAGTCTGCCAGAATTCCGAGCGTCTGGTGGTTTCCATGGAGAAGTGTATTTCTTACAAGGCCCAGCTATTTTTGCAGAGTATTTTGTAATGTATTTGAACTTGCAGTCTTGTGCCATTTCTGTTCTCCTGCTCCCCGAGCGGTGCAGGGAAATGCTGCCAAATTCCCGTTAAGCTCTGGGGAAGGAGCAGCCCAAGGGCCCGCGTCCCCGATGGTTTTGAGGGTCAAGATGCTGTCTGTGTGTGCTGTCCCCCAGTTTTACCGTATTCTGAAGGAGAGCCCTCGCACGGGTGGGAGAGGTGAAGCTTCTCCCTGCTTCGCACCACCAAAAGGATGCTAACGCCCCGTGAAGCGTTGCATTGGAAAAGGTAATTGCGCTGCTGCTGTAAAGTTGAATGGCTCGTTGGGAATTTTCCGTGGAGTGGGTTTAAGCTGGTTTTTATTTGACAGCTAGGCTTCCTCCAGTTTTGTGATAATATAGAGAGTTTTGTCCAACAAACGCCACTTCTTCTTCCTTAATTGTCTAATTAGGACTGAAACTGCTCTACTGGTGCTCAGCTCCTTCTCTGCTTCCTTCGCGTGGCTGCAAGAAGAGAAACCTCAGGAAGACGTGACCAGACATCATACTCCTTTTGCAGCTCTTCTCCCCTTGCTTCGGTGTTGTCCACTACAAGTTTAATTACTGTGTGAGAAATACTTTTCTCAAGTGGAGCCAAAATCTAGGATTTAAGCCAAAGTAAATTAACAGTTCTCAGAAAACCTGGAGTCCCAAAGCCAAGAATTTCAAGGCTTTTAGGCATCTCTCTGTTACTGGCAGGCATCTCGTGATGTCATGTGGTAGAACAAATGGACACCGAAAAGCTGATGTCAGTCTGGTGCCAGTTTAGCAGGGAAGATTAAAACCGATTTAATTTAGGGAGGCCAAACTGGAAATAATGATTATACACAGAAACGGTGGGGTTATTTCATAAGCCGTATCCGTGTTTGGTTTTGGTTTTTTTTTTTTCCCATTAGTGGCAGGTTTCCAAGCTTCGTTCTTGGTTTCCTATATTTGTGCTCTGGTTTTTCTTTTTTTATTTCAGGGGCAGAGGGACTGCTTATTTGTAAAGTTGTATTTGACTAATTGTATTTCCAAATGTGTTAATATTCTCTGTTTTTTTTTTTTTTTTTTCCCTGTTTCCCCTTTCCCTAAATGACCTCAGTTCGGCCGAAGCGGGTGTTCGCGGCGGCTTCGACGGGAGAAAGCTGATGCTGGAGAAGGGTCCCGCGTTTTTGTGACCACCCCCCCCGAAGCGGGGAGAATGTAATTTTGCGGTCAGGTTTAAGTTGAACGCTTTCCCAACGTAACTTATTGTAATAGCTTTGGTCTAATGGCCAGTGAACTCCTCAGCCTAATTTGGAAAATTAACATTTGGTAAATTCTAATTGGAAGAAAGAATTCGGGAGCCTCTTTTTTTTTCCTTCCTGCCTCTAAACAGATTTGTTGACAACAACTGCATTTTTTTAAATTACAGGCAGGGCTTGTTTTCTTGATGAACCTTCACGTATTGCTTTGAAGGTTTAAACTAGTGGTTGTAGTTGCCTCATCTGCATAGATGTTTTAAAAGCAATGTAAAGATGGAAGTGAAAATTGAGGGTCAAAACATTTGACAGCCATGCCCCAGCTGACGATCTCCCAGCCTCTGCTATGGAGGAAGTTAATCAGAGAAGTTGAAAAACAGCAGTAGCAGCCAGAGGCAGATCAGAAGGATGACACCTGGAATTGTCAGAAAGCCTTTATGCCCCATCCATTTAGCTTTAAAATACTAAAAAAACCCCAAAACCCAACCAAACCACTGACTAGATATTCTGTACTTTCTGTGCTTCTCTTTCAGGTCTTTCATGCTTCACAGTTCCCTTCCCCCCATCTTACTTTTCCTTGTTGTCCTCTATTTCTTCCTTGTTTAACTTCATAAGACTCATGGGGATGCAGCACCGTAGCTGTAAAAAGCTGTTCTGCTTGTTCAGTACGCAGTTTCTATTTATTCATATCATGGGTCTTGTGGTTTGTGAGGCAAAGTTTGGTGTAACCCTCACTGGCTTACTTTGCAGGGAGCTTACTGCTGCTAAAAAAAAAAAAAAAAAAAAAAAAAAAAGGGTAGGTTGAGCTTCTTTCCAAATATTTTCCATCTATGAATAGTGTTTTTATACTACAAATCATTAAAATGTTCAATTTATTGTCAAGGTATAAGGAAAGGAGATTGTGTAAAATATTGCCATAAAATCTGTAAATAAATCGCAGGATATTACCCACGCTTTCTTCTAAAGTTAAGTGTGTATTTGGGTGTATGGGAATGGACTTTTTTTACTTCATAACAAGTCTCATGTGTTTGAGCTAGTTTGTCTGAGGGGTTTTTTTGTTTTGGTTTTATTTTTTTTTTTTCTTAAATGTAATAATGTGATTGCCAAAGATGAGCAGAAGTTATCCAGGACGGTGTTTTTCTGGTTTTTTTTGGGTTCCTCCCCTGCCCAATGAATATTGTAATATATATATATCCCACTGTAGTCTAAATTTGCCTTGTACAACTGTTTTTATTCTTCAGATGTAAGTATTTGTCAGCGATACAGCATCTTTCTGAGCTCCTGAGTCTTCTTGAAGTGGTGCCAGAGAAGGATTTCAGTGATTAGAACATGAATAAGTATAGCAGTGGGAAGACAAAGCCTTTGCTTTTGGAAGAGACTGTCGGCAGACAGATAGCAAAGCTGTGTTTTGTGCAGAAAGCGTGCTGGGATCATTTTCGTGCAGTTGTATGTATTTTTTTTATTTTTTTTTTGAAGTCGACTGGAACACTGTGTCGTTTTGAAATCTTCCCTGTGTCACATCAGGAAACTGGCCTTAGTACCAGCAGTTAATCGGGTGAATGGGCAGCTAGAGTTTGGAGCTCTGGCAGAGGTGGAATGCTTCTTATTGCACTATGTGATGTCTTCCATGGAGGTTCTAACTTGGGACTCCCACAGAAATGCTCTTAAGTGGCAATGCTTGTAATCATATTTCAGAATGTATTTTAAAAGATCATCTATTTCTTCCTTATTAGCAACAGAAAATGAGTTAGTAATCTAATGGCATCCTGTAAGGTGTTGATTAGACCAGATGAGGGGTTAGGAGTTGCCTTCCACCTCTTGTATATCTATTGTCTTTTTCCTTGTTCTCCTTTTTTTCCCCTCCTTCTTCTTTCTCTCTTGTTTTTTTCTGGTATACATGGCGGGGTGTGTGCATACATTTACAAAGTTAGGCTTGAATCCCTCTTCTCACAAGAACTTAAGTTTCTAGTCTTCCAGTTCAATATTATTTTGAGTTATACATTAATAGCGTCCATTTCTGTTCATGTTCTGAATCTGGAAGCAACACACATTCTGTGGAAATGGGCCCTAGGAGTCTAAATGCCTTTATCGTATTCTCTGCATTCCCGCTATAGTACTTGCTCATCTCAGAGAAAGCAATGACGTCAGTCTTTGAAAAGTAAACTGTTTTGAATTATTGACTGGCAACCACGCATTCAGCAATTGAGATGTACATGTGTGTCCGCTGACCAGAAGCCAGATTAAAATGCGCAGAATCCCTCACTAAATGGATCAAGGAGCCAAGAAGTTTATTCTCTGAAATGATGTCATAGCAGGGGGCATAGAGAGGGTACGGAGAGGAAAAGCGAGGCTGTTTTCTTCCTGTTTCCAGGATTGATTTACACACGGTTTAATAGAAATCAAAGCTATCCTTACATAAATTTATATTCTGTCTTTATATAGCTTATGTGTATTTTTTTTTCTTTCTAGCATTAAAACTTGGGAAGTGTTCTGGCTTTATATTAAAGCATTCTGACAAGAAAAGTGCATCAAAATCTTCCAAAGTTTTCCAAAACTCGGAACTAACACAAGGCTTATAAATCTTGTGGGCTTCATTCCCGCTATGAAAGAATTGAGGATACTGTGACCACAACTGATGCTCTAGATTTACTGGTGTCTGATGTTTTTAGGTATTGAGTTGTGGTTGTTGGTAACACTTCCTAACTTGGCTATTGAAATGATTTTTCTCAGCCATCTCAAAACACAAATCCAAAGGTTGGTCAAAAATGTTGATCGAGAAAACTGATGAAATAAATAATAAATGATAAGTAATAAACCATGAAATAAATTATTGCGAAATAAACACTCTTAAATCATGTCAGCGTATTAGTTAGACATTTTAGAAATATATACGAGATTAGCTTAATTTAATTAGCTGAGAAAGCATTAGCAGTGCCTTAAGAGCTACTTGAGGGCACTGTGATAATTGTAACACGCGATCCTAGCTAAAAGTAGTACTGCCAACAGCGTTCGACTTGCTCGGTGGCAACCTAGAGCTCTCCATTGTACTTAATTGCTAATAGGAGCAGCCACGGGCTTGAGGATTGACATCGAGCGCTGTGGTGTGGGAAGGTGTAAAGCCCAGCGGCGTTTCTGCGCTCTGTAATACCAACATATTTCCGTGTCTCTTACTGTAATTTCTCAGTCTGTAACAGTAAATGTTTTTTTTTTCTGATTTCTGGGTGATAATGCAGCTTTTGTAGCATAAGCTTGTTG